TTCATCTGACCTAAATCCATTGGATTTCTATTTTTGAGGGTCATTAAAAGACCTAGTTTACTCGACTGAAGTAAATACTCAAGAAGATTTACTTCAAAGAATCCATCAGGCTGCAAATGAAATAAGAAGAAAAAGCCTTTCCACTTTTCGGGCTACGCAATCATTAGTTCGTTGAGCGAGACTCTGTATCCAACAAAATGGGAATTTATTTGAACACTTATTGTAAAGCTAGTTTTAAGTATATCGAACTGTATGTCTTCTTTTTTAAACAAATTTCAATTTCGTTCGTAGAAAAAATTTATTTCTTTTGTTTTTGCCTAAATGTTAGCTATGTTGCAGTAGAAATATGTATTTATGTAATATTTATCAATTATTAAATTAGTTTTTTCGTTGCCATGGCTAATTATTCAACGACTGATTTAAATTCGCAGTACATTTCATATCATATGACAAATTTTTTAGTTTGATTTTGTCCAAAAATGTTACAATTTATCGATATTCAATAAGAGTACCTTTTTTTATGTAGAAGACCCTAAATTTTCAAATTCTAAAATTCAATTTCACAACTGGAATCACACAAAAATTTTGGGGCTAAAATAACCTGAGTCCATCCCTGTTACATACGCTTCCAAACAAAACTGCCTAAAATTGTTAATATTTTTAAATCCAGCATAAAAAACTAGGCTAAAATACCAAATATGTCTTTATCTCAACACGTTTCGGAAATATTAAGGAAAAACTTTTCTTCCTATTTTAATTTCTAGAAACCGCTGGTAAAATATTGCACACTTTTTGCGGGACATACTGTATATATCTAATGACTTGTCACTACATTACTAACTAGAAATTCACTCCCGACATTACACTTATTATCCAAGGAATATCCTACCTAACATGACCAGAATACACCTCAAGGAAATTCCTAATTCAGTGAGTACCTGCATAAATATTACTAGCTCTGCGGAAGAAGAACTCACCATTTTCGACCATAATTGAAATCCCAAAAATCGTGTCACAAAAGTCGTTGATCCTGTCAAAAAATTATATTAGGTCATAGTCAGATCATAATAATATACTGAGTGCTTCAACAAGATGAGCAAAAAGAAAAAAAGTAAAGATGAAGAAGATAGCCAAATGACGAATCACGACATTTATGAGAAGGACTGTTTAAAAGAAGAAAATGATATAAAGATACTCCCGCAAAAGATATACTATTCGAATGAAATGCTAGAATCAAAAGACTATCATATTAGACAAAGAAAGGTACATTAACCAGCTCGTAAATGAAAATAGACATCTGCAGGAGCATTATGAATTAGTTATTACTAGTATCGTCGACAAAGATACTATTAATACCTCACTAAGCAAGATAAACCAAAGAATCGAAAATATAGAAAAATTTGCTAAAGAACAGTTCAGTAAAATAATAGATGGACCAGAAATAGGAACAACAACCTCACGAAATGAATTATCCACTGCATCGTACAGCAGTACTCTTAAAAAACCCAATATGAGTCATAAATCAGCTGTTCTTTTAATTAAATCTCACAAGATCTCAGAACATCAAGATGTACTAAGAGATTTAAAACAAAGCATAAATCCTGCGATTTGAGTGTAAGAAATGAAACTCAGTGTGGTTTCGGTTCGAAACTATAGCAGGAACTTTATTGGATGAAAACATGATGACAACAACACTAGTTACATTTCATATTCAGTTTATAAGAAGTAAAATATAGCAAAATGCAAAGTCAGAAATGTTCTCACAAAGATAACACCTTAACGCTGTAACTAGAAACCGGATGGACGGCGCTAATCACAAGGGCATCGGGACGGTGTTAGCCGTACCGTTGAAATGGCAATCATCAGGATTCCATAACTCCTCCCTCCTCGGAAAGGCTAAATTAGATTTTTTTTAAAAATGAAGTTGACAAACTTCAAAATTTTTCGGCCAAAATGTGGCATTTCATAAAAAAATGCAACATTCTCAAAAATGCCAAGAAATTCCTGCTGTACAAAAAAAAATGGGACACTTACAGAAAGCGATATTGAAACATTCAATGAATTTTGCAAATATTGTTCTGAAATTGGTGAGAATCTGGCAAAAGAAATTTCAAATGAAACACAACTTATATATACGAAAACTGTATTGCAAAATTCCCTGTATCTGACACAGACCGATCAATGCGAAATTGAAAATATCATAAAACAACTGAAACAAATAAATAATATTATTAGTATTAGCATATCTTATAAACACCTGCATGGAAAGAGGAATGTTCCCGACCGACTTAAAAAAAAGCAATAATAAAACCTGTATTTAAATCTGGAGAAAAACAGAAACCTTGTAATTATCGCAAAATTTCAGTATTGACAAACTTTTCAAAAATTTTCAAAAAATTCTTAAAAAACGCTTTTCAGATTTTATTGAAAAATACAACCTCATATCTGAAGAGCAATATGGATTCCAGGAAGCAAAATCAACTCAAGATGCACTTATTCAGTTAACAACCAAAATTTACAAGTACGTTGATAATAATAAGTCAACAGCATGCCTTTTTTGTAGATCTAACCAAAGCATTCGATAGAATTACGCATCAAAAATTATTAAGAACCTTGGAAAATTTATGATTTCGTAGAGTCACTTATCAACTCATGAAAAGTTATTTGGAAAACAGGACACAATATGTGAACATCAACAGTACACTGAGTGAAAATAAGATTGTTAGATGCGGAGTTCCACAAGGAACCGTATTAGGACCAATGCTGTTTAATATATAATAATGACCTTTTTAAGTTAAAAAACGACGGAGAAATTATTGGTTTCACAGACGATACGGCAATTATTTACTCAGACAAAGATTGGACTTCTTTAAAAAACAAAATTGTATTAGATTTTCAAAAGGTTTCAACAAAACATACTTTATTACATTTTCTTGCGACAACAGGTCTTCCCCAAATTTTAATCCAGTCCAAATTAAAACGTTGAATAGCTGTAGAAACATACAATCGGTTGATAATTTCAAATACCTAGGGATATTCATAGATAACCATCTAAGATGGAATAAACATATTGAAAATTTAGTAAGAAAATTAAGATACCTTATTCTGAAAGTCAAATATTTCAGCAGTTTTTTAAGCGAAAAATATCTACAGGTGATATATCATGCCCTTGTTCAATCATTATTATCTGAGCATGGGGGGAGTCATGAATAATTTTTATAAGAAGATTGAAATTGCGCAAAGTGGATTTTGAAAGTTATGTTGAACAAAAAGAAATGTTATCCCTCAGAAAATCTTTACAATGAATCTCAGATTTTCGACTGCCAGCAAGTTTATTTTTATCATACAATAATATATTTAACAAAAAATCCAAAATTGTTACTTTCCATCAGCCACAACCATCAAATGCGATTCAAGGAAACCTCTGCACTAATTCCTAGAATAAATAAAACTATCAGCCAAAGATCATTTTATTTTCTGTGCTCAAAATTTTATCATGTTATTCCTGCAAACTTTAGACATATAAATTGTAAAAAACGTTTGAAAATTGAATTAAAATCATGGATCCTAAATCAACCAAGGCTACAAATCCATTGGTTTGTTGACACTAAGAACCTATATGGTATTTGAACATAGAATGATGCAAATTTATACATTTGACTAGTATACTTAAAGAAAATTTGTTGTATTAATACAGGGTGGCCCATAAGTCCTTTGAGCTGGAAAAAAAGGAATAAAACCAAACTAGTTACATTATGAAGAATTATATTTTGTTATCATCTTTATTGAATGGGAATTATGTTTTAAAAATCACATCGTCTAAATGCAATCCATTACGATCACGGCACTCATATAAACGACGTCTAAAATTGTCGATGACTGCGCGGCAAGTCAACATTGTAATGCTTGCCATTTCTCTTCGGATATTTTCTTTCAGGACATCAACTGATCGCGGAGTGGTGTCGTACACTTTACTCTTGAGGTAGCCCCATAAAAAGAAGTCCATTGGGGTCAAATCTGGACTACGTGGTGGCCAGGAAATGTCTCCTCTTCGAGAAATTACTTTGCTGGGAAAAAGTTGACAGACGACGGACATAGAAGTGTTGGAGGTGTGGGCAGTTGCTCCGTCCTGTTGAAACCAGGTCTGCGTATTATAGCCTGGATAATTCTGCAACGCTGGTGTCAAAAACTCTTCTATCATTGCTACATACCGCTCCGAAGTAACAGTTAATGCGCGACCTCTGTCGTCCTCAAAAAAATAAGGGCCTACGATGCCATGCGCTGACATAGCAGCCCAAACTGTAACTTTAGGGCTGTGTAAGGGCTTCTGATGCTTACGCCTTGGATTTTCGGGGGTCCGATAACGGCAATTTTGTTTATTTACATGCCCGTTTAAATGGAAGTGAGCCTCGTCCGAGAACAACACATTATTGAGCGAAGCAAATCGATTCAACATTTCATTCGCAAAGTTTAGTCTCTGAATAGCGTCATTTTCTTTTAATTCCTGCACTAACTGAATTTTGTAAGCGTGCAGACGTAAATCTTTCCTTAAAATCCGCTGTAAAGATGTTCTGGGTACGTTTAGTGCACTGGAACGCTTACGAGTAGACTGGGTAGGATTTTGACGAACAGACTGTGCCACAATGTTGATGTTTTCTTCAATACCAGTTGTCCTTGGTCGACCCCACCGCTGTTTATCTAACGTCGAACCAGTCTCTTCGAACTTAGCAACCCAGTTCTTAATCGTTTGAGCTGTTGGTCACTTTGTAAAATTGTGTAAATTGTGGTATTCTCGATATTTACGCCGCGCAATGGTTGCCGAATCATTATTTTGATAAAACGCGCGCACACAAAAAGCACGATCCGCTCCAGTGAAACACTCCATGGCGACTGAATTCCCAGACACTGAAGATACTGCCCCCACCTCGCCCGCGCCGCTCACGCTCACCCGTTAAATTTTATTCAAATTTAAAATTTCAAAGGACTTATGGACCACCCTGTATAACTCAACTTCGGTTAAAACCCAAGCAGAAGTGTACAATTTTTTGGGTATATTATGTTTATTTTACATTGCCGTTATTATTTATACGAAAACTTTGTAATTTTACCAATAAACATTATTATTATATGTCTTGAAAACTATCAACTTTATAAAAAAGTTCAGGGGAACTCATTTTTCTCAAAAATTAACCAAAAACCCTAAAAAAAATCAATTGATACTGATACAATTTTGGGCCTGGTAACATGCATACAAGTTAAATGAGATTATGCAAAAAACAAATCAAAATATTTATCCGAGCAGATGCCAAGATACTTCCTATACTATACCTGCAACCAGAAACCCTTATAATTATCGTAATATTGTTCGTAGAAACCAAGAAGTCCTTCCATGGTCAACAAGGACTCTCAGTCAGTAGGCATAAAAGAATGAGAACGTGCTACTTCAGCAGATCCGTGATAGCTCTATGTTTGGTTCTAAAGATATCGTAGTTCTTAGAATAGTTTACTGTTCCAATGCCTTTATTGTAGGACTTAGACCTAACCATAACCTTGAAGCAACCCCTAAATGGTCGAGTAAAAGGGAAATGCAAGGATAGCCGAAAAGGAAAGACCTATTACTCGTTCACCAACATACCTTACGCAGAACCACCCATAGGAAATAAGAGATTGCAGGTAGATTTCAAATACACTCAGGTTCAAAATAAATGCAACACACAACATTGTGATCAAATTCGGGACGACATAACTTTTTAAATTTTAATCTATTTTCGACAGACGATAGATTACTCTTCAACCTTTACTTAGTAGTGGTCGATTCTAGTAATAGATGGCAGTTTGTACTGTGTTATTTCGATATAGATTCAGTGACATTAGAAGTGTTACACCCAGAAAAAATAATTTCTTCAAAATGTTTTTTTGGCAACATAATGACTGTTTCAGAGCTATGGGATCAGACTTGTAGGGGTTATTCAGTGTAACAGTAGAAAACCTTTGAGTATAGCGACCCATATCCGGCGCTTGTGTGTTGTTATCTTTAAAAACGATAACAGAGATTCCTTTTTGCAGCTGCATTCCATATCGCCTCAGTCGTGCTATCGTATTTGTGAAGTTTGCAAGAATTTAACAAAAATTAATTGTTGCTAATGGAAAATTTTACCAATCAAGAATTGGCGAATATGCATTCGGCATACGGAGCAACAAGCTGCAATGCAGAGCAGCAGCGCGGTTGTATCAATAACATTATCCCGAACCACAGCATCCGGGATACAAAAAATTTATTGCTATTCATCGGCGGCTCTCCGAGACAGGCATTTTTAAAACCAACATGCATGATACTGGTGTTGGTCGAACCGTAAGAAAGGTCGAATTTGAAGAAGAGGTCGTTCAGCGAGTTGCCGACGAACCATCAAGTAGCACACGTCACATTACTCAGTATATGAATATGAGTAACGCTACCGTCTGGCGGGTGCTACACGAGCAGCAACTTTATTCTTACCACAGCCAGAAAGTTCAAGGATTGGCGGCAGCCGACTATCATCCTAGAGTTCAATTTTGTCAATGGCTTCTTCATCAAATCGCTGCACAACCAAATTTTTTACCTTCACAAGAGGCGGTATTTTCGATAGTAGGAATATCCACGTTTGGGACAAAGAAAATCCCCATGCAATTTTTCCTAGAAAACATCAGCAACGTTGGTCTGTCCACGTATGGTCAGGCATTGTTGATGATTATTTGATTGGGCCATACCTTCTACCGGACGGTAAACCGGACCTATTTACCGGCGTTTCTTGGAGGAAGTTCTTCCAGAACTTCTTGAAAATGTTCCAAGCAACGTTCGACAGCAAATGTGGTTTCAGCATTGTAGAGCGCCGGCTCACATTGCTGTACAAGTACGTGAGTATTTGGCTCAGCGGTTTGGGCACGGTTGGATTGCCAGGGATGGAGCAGTTTCTTGGCCTCCTGGGTCACGCGATTTAACGTCGCTAGATTTTTTCCTGTGAGGACATATAAAGTATTTGGTTTACGAACCTCCACTAGAAACAGAGCAAGACTTAATTGGACGAATTACAGCATCATATGAAATAATTCAAAACGAGTATCAAATCTTTAATTGATGATGTCCTACAAACCACTTTACTGCTGCATCTAGAGGGTCGTCCTCACATCCGTTTTCAGCAAGATAACGCACGTCTCCATGTTGCTCGTCGTACTACGGACTTTCTTCACATTTTGTCGATGCCTAGACGTATTCAGGAGTGTACTCAGCTGCGGGGTCGCCCAACACCTTATTAATTATTTTTCTTCTTACTTGACAATAACGTTTTGTGAGAATGTTATAGTTTCATTCCTGATGTATCACTACCTCATGTCAAAAAGTCAAGTTGAAGAAACTATATTTTCTGGGTGTAACACTTCTAATGTCACTCTAAACAGAGTGACCAAGCCTAGACCTTGCTGATGAGTTTCCAAATAGCACGAAACACATGTCTATGGTTGGCCGACTGTGGTCGGACGAACGGAAGCTATTTTATTAGCTTAATCTGCTTGTTTAGTTTCTTTTGTTAAGTACTGTTTAGCTTGTTATACATGGTAAATCAGAGTGATGTTTCGTCACCTCAACCTTGAGTCTTTCTGTAATGTGCCCTTCCTTCATAATACTATTTCTTCGATTGTATCACATAAAGATAAATATGTAATCAATAAACAATACATGATAGTCAGTTTACTCAGTTCTAAGGGTCCCATGTATAGTCATTTGAAGATTGAGTGTGGTTTGAGGGAAGATATTTCCTCGCATTTAAAAAACAATAAAACTCAAAAAAATCCTCAAAATCGCACGATTTTTGGCATTTTCAAAATTCCAAAATTTCCAAAACTTTTGAATTTTATTATTATTTTGAAGTCTCAATGTTGCCAAAATCAAAGTTTCTGGCCCTTCACAATTCTTACAAAATTTTGCAAATTTTGAAAATTACTGAATATCGGAAATCGTGCAAATTTTGAAAACTTTTCCAAATTTTGAGAGCATTATGCTGACAACTGCTACCAACTACTGTAAAATGCATATGTTAAATCATCCTTGAACGTTCCACAAGCAAGTGTTATTGTTTTTTTAAAATCCAAGGAGAGATCATTCCTTAACTACCACTCAATCTCCCAGGAACATCCATAAATGTGACGCTTAGTATTACTCAGTGCATCTAAGTACCAAAATTTTTTGTAGAGACCCGAACCTGCAAAAGCCTGGGACGGAATCTTAAATGCTATCGATTTAGAAAGACAATGCATAAAAGATCCAATTATGCAGACTGGAATTATACGTGGCACCGAAGATTGCTTGGTTCTTAACGTATATACACCTAAGGTAATTTAGTCCAAGATCCCGTGCACCATCGAACGGTCATATCTGCAAAATTGACAAAAACGTGGATCAGAAATGAAAATTTCTATTTATGGAAATTCCTTGATTAAGGCCCTTTAGAGGCAACAAAAGTTGTTACTGAATTCAAGATTGCTAAGTATTTTACTTCCCATGCCATTTATGACAACTTATTACTATGCCAAGGACGAAAACTGTTGCGGGGTTTCGAGAGAACAAAATGATGGTGACCTTGACAATGACCTTGATCACGGAGTTCAGGGCTACTTCAAGGTCAAACAAATATTCTAAAATGAATTCCCCCTTATAGACATCGTTATTGGAAATCTTACGTCCGAATATCATATATTCCAACACCATTTCAAGGACAGATCACGGCATCGAAAACAATTTGCTGATGCAAAAATGTTCGACAGCACAGTTGTGGGGAATGTGACTTTGACCTCAAAGTCAAGATTCCAGTATAAAAATTAGTGATTTTTTTTGGAAATTGTATTTGACCTTGGAGGACATGAGGAAGTTCATGATCAAAGTCACTTCAATGCATTAAGTCCGAATGTGACCTTGACATCAAATAACATTTCATCTTAAAACGACCTTTACTTTGAGGTCAAGGTCACATTCGGACGTAAAATTGTGTATTTTGATATGTAAAAAGAAGATATTTCTTTTGTAAATGTTGACTTGACCTTCAAGGTCACGGTCTAGGACACATCTGGGTGACCCTCACAGACCTCACAACTATGTTGTCGGACATTGTTTTTAATGTCTTGATTAAACCTTGAAGTGGCCTTGGAGGAATTAGTCAAAGTCATGGTAATGGTTGTGAGCGCAAAACTTTCTGAGTTTGTTGACCTAGGAGACGTTCTGTCTCTAGAATTGGCATGAGCGTTTCGATAGTTTGCGAGACATTGTCGGAAATCGATCATATTCTTCAGATCCGTTATTTCAAAGACACCTTCCTGTTAATGGAATTTGAATTTCATAGCTATCGCATCAACAACGGCAACATTCGAATGTGAAACTCGTGACGAAAATCACAAATGAAGCTGCCAGCACTGCGCCTGTCGAATACTCTTGATCATTCACGAATAAAGGTTCGAGTCCTGCCGAGTACGCGATTCAGATAAACAGTTTAAATGTACCGGTTCTACATAAACCAAGTTGCCTACCCTGATTAAACGGTTACATAATGATACACAGTTAGTTTGATATTTTCAAGCGAATTATTAATAGTATGCTTTCAATTAAATTTGTAGCAATGGGGTACAATGCAGCTACGTTAATTACTAAAAGCCAACGATATCTAGAATATATTTTTTACAGAAATGCTGACAGCAGTTACTGGTGCTATAATGATCAGTGGGTCATGCTTGTCACCATTTGGTTTTGGATTGGATTCAAAAGCTAGATCAAACGCTTTCATGGTAGGGCGGGAACTGGGATTGGATTTGGATGAATCTTCTGAAAATAGCTCAACTATTCTTTTAGAAAAGATCCAAAGTATACCAGCTGATAAGTTCATTCGTATAGCCAGAGTAAGTATATTTTTTTCTTGAATGTGTCACTGATCGGTCATAGTGTCAAGTAGCTTGACACTAGGTGCCTATACTTGGGTACCGAAAAGGAAGAGAGTATCAAAACATATCGCACGTTCCAGCTAGTGCGGCATTTCTTTAAATATGGCGAGGTACCCGCTCGGTGTGTTTGTCAATTCAAAGAGAGGCCGCGCTGCCATTGGCACGCGATGTGCTTTGCGGCTCCTTCCTTTTCGGTACCCTTCCTTCTTGGTGTATACTTGGACTCCAAGCTCTCGTTTGTGAGCCAAATGAACACCTCGCCAAAAAATATATCAGTTCATTCATTTGTCATCTGCTATTAAAACTATATTACTTCGCACATGTTCATTCTACGAGTATATTAAGTTACTACATAGTGGTCTGAGACAGATGTCTCAGAATGAGTGAACTATTTATCATCCAAAAAAGAGTTATTAGAACGATACTCTACAAAAATTCGAAATATCTTTATATAGATCTATTCAAAAAGTTGGGCATAATGACGGTGTATTCCTTGTATATTTATAAGTGTTTAATCCATGTCAGAGATAATTATAATCAGTATCATATTAGGAATGATACCATTAATCTCCGCGCGAATTTCAATATTGTCATACCCAGTCATAAGCTTGCTTCGGTGTCCATGGGTGCTTCGATCATGCCGATAAGATTGTGCAACCACCTACCATCATCCCTATTGACCGTCGAAACCTCTGCGTTCAAATGCAAGGTATGTGAATTTCTGCTTGAACATCAATTTTACACAATTGATGAATATCTGTCACGGCCGTTATGATTTTAATGTTGTTGTTCGTTGTAGATGACATACTCTACTCTTTAACAACTTCGAATTTGAATTTGTAGTTTATATAGTTGACTTATTCCTATACTTGTTAGTCAGGTCTGATGGAAGATTAATAATAAAAAAATAATTTTTTTAAACAAATTCCGAAAATTTTGTTTTTGTTCTCATGACCCAAAATTTCGTCAAAGTTCAATTTAAAAAAATCCAAAAATTGCTTTTTTTCGCTCTGGTCAACTTTTTTTGTTTTTGGGCCATTCTGAACAAAAAATTCTCTTATGAAGTCTCTCTTATTCTTACGCAGAATACACGTACAGTGAAATCCATATAACACTGAAATCGTAATTTATACGAGAGAGTAGCTCGAGAAGTGTGTAATACGTGTGTTAGAAATAGATAGAGGCATCTCGTTGCCTAGCAACTCGAGTGATGAGACAACGGACACAGCTGCGGCTTGCAGCATTGCCATCGACGCACTCTTTCTAACATACATATTGCACGCTTCTCGTGCTTCTCTCTCGCACACATACGACGTCAGCCAAATTTGAACCTCGCAGTATATTGCACATGTGTCTACTTAACAACTAAAGAACAAGCATTTACAATAATAGCATCTTCTAAAATGATTTAGGAGTTTGTCAACGAATATTTAAAGATTATCTAGGAACTATGACATCATTTATTTTTTTCATATTGTTGTTCGGGGACGAAAACGGCATATTTTGCACATTTTCAAAACTCTAAACATACAAATTTTATTTTTGTTGAGAATAATCCTAGAAACCCGAAAAAAGCTTTGTACTGAGCAAATTTTGGAACTCGTTTTATAAATATCGTTTATACCATTTTTGACGCAATTTTAAACATGCAGATTCGTTAAAAGAAAGCCTTTTTGCATAAGATTTTGCAAAAGGAAAGCAGATTGAGAATATTTATCTGAGCAGAAGCAAATATAGAGTCGTATAATGAGCGATATTTTCTTTAAATTCTGGTTCCATCGACAACTAAGGTTTCTGCTTTTACTTTTCACACCTCTGGGCAAGAAAGTATTGTTTTTGAGAAAAATTTAGAAAATGTCCATCGGTCTGTCTGTGTGTAGGTATATCTGTATGTCTGTCTGTCTGTTCGCTGGTCCTTGAGCCCTCTATAATTTGGGGAGTACCGATCAGTTGATGAAATCTTCACACAGGGTTACTACTATGCCAAGGACAAAAAAGCTTTCTAGTGTTGTAAAATCGTTCCAGTGGCGGCGGAGAAAAATGTCAAAAACGAAAAAAAATAAAATCGCTCAAACTTTGTTTTTTGACTTTTCAGAGTATGCTGATCAATTTTGAACATTTTTTTAGGAGTAAACAATTGGGGGGTTAGATTGTAGGGGGTGGGGGAGGGTGTATTTGAATTTTTATGGCATTAGTATATTAATACATTCCCAAGGCCAATAATTACATGCACCTATTAGACATATTTCACACAGCAAAGAATTCTCCCGTACATTTACCCTTTAAAACAAACATTTTCTTCTCTTGGGACGGAACACAGTGAACATTCTTACAGAACAAGTTCATTTTTGGGTTGTTATTTAAGGTACTATAATAAGGTACTCCATCCACGAAATTGTAGATCTGAAAAATCATTATCAAAATCAATAATATTTTACTTACACTAACATCCATACTTTTACTTCAGTTCTAATTGTCTGGATATTTTTCCTGACATTACCATAATAATTCACCAAATTATACAGTATTAACGGGTTTTTTCCTTTTTTTTTTCATACACTGACTGTACTATTAGTTTTTATTTTGTACAAACCCAAACACAAGTGCAAACTTTTTTTGGGTGCTTTATGTTTATTGTGCACAATATTTGATATTTACTTGTATTTTGTGACAATAAACATTATTATTATTATTATTATTATTATTATATAGTTCCAGACACATAACTATTGCGCGACTATCCAGTACGGTGGTGATTAGAGCTCTTCTGTTCTACTGGATGAGTACTGGAGCTTTGTTATAGGTATTTTTACAACTCTCAAACTTCTCCCACAACCCCACAGCTCAGTGAATCAAATCCCACAACTTCCATACTTCTCTGGCACAAATAAGCTCATAGAACATCAAAATCAGCTTTATTTTTCTAGCTCAACTCCCTCAGTTTTTTTTATTCAATTTATCAACTTTGTATCAATTGTAGTAGTAGTAGTAGAAAGATTTATTTAGCACATTTGGCTACAAAAACAGAACAATTGTAAACAACTTAGAACTAGTAAATTCAAGCCATATGGTGTATGATGTAACTGCTGGGCAACCTATAATTGTAGATTTAACAAGTGATTTCTCAATTTTACTTTACATTTTGTCAAAGTTTTCTGGTCTTTTATCTCTGAGTATAATTTATTATATTCAATCAACCCTTGATGGAATACAGATTTGTAGCATATGTTATACTTTTTGGTCATTAAATGGAAGTCATCTTTATTTCTGGTATTATGTAAATGATTGTCGACATTTGATGATGTTAAATTAGTTAGACTTGATGGAAATATATTATTTTTTACTTTATAAATGAATATCATTACAAGATATTTGATAAAATTTTTTACATTGAGCCATTTTAATTTGCTAAGCATTTGCCTAATTGGAGTATATTTATCTTTATTTAGTATTATTCTCATGCACTTATTTTGTAAAATTTGCAGTCTTTCAAAAATGGAATTATTTGCTAAATATAGAATAGTCGAACAGTACAAGAAATTTGGAAGAATGATGGTATTATAGATAATTTTTCTGCTATATGAACTCAGACATCCAGAAACTCTCGATAAATATCCCACTTTACTACTAATCTTATTTATAACTTTTTCATAATGAATATCAAAAATTAATCGAGAGTCAACAAAAACCCCCAGGTATTTAAAATTTTCTACGAATTCCATTACTTCATCATCACTTGCATTTAATTTTAGTCTGTTAGATGCTAACCATTTTGAGACAAGCTTCAAGTCTTCATTTATATAAGAGATACCAGACTGAATATTTTTCGTACTTATATAAATCATAGTGTCATCGGCGAAAATCTGAATTTTGCATTTTTTGACTATGGCAGGTAAATCATTTATGTATAAAATAAAAAGAAGTGGTCCAGGATACTGCCCTTTGGAACAGCCAACGTATTTTCAATTTTTGATGAAATAGTGTCATTAACTTTTGTAACTTGCATCCTTTTAGACAAATAATTTCTCTATCAATCGTTTCAAATGCCCTCTTCAAATCAAAAAATACTGCTATGACAACTTCTTCTGAGTCTATGGCTCTTCTCCAATTCTCAGTTACCAACTGGAAAGCTGTTTCTGTGGAATATTTTTTCGAAAGCCTGCTTGCGCCTCCACTAAAATTTTAATTTCTTCTATAAACTGCATTAATTGGTCATGCACTATGGACTCTAATAATTTTTCAATGTCTGGTAACACATTTACTGGTCTCATATCGCTGCATCTTTTAGAATTTTTTATTTTGGGAACTGGTGTTATTGTAGAACATTTCAAATTTTCAGGAAAAGAACTGCTTCTCAGTGAACAATTGATCCAATTTAATACAGTATATCCCAAAATTTCGAAACAGTTCTTCAGCACGTTTTTAGTAGTGATTTCGGCACAGTTGTTATTTGATTTTAAACTTTTTTCTTGAGATAATTCAATGAAACGCTGTGAAATTTTGAAAGTGTATGCAACATTTCCCCCTGGAAACTGATTTTCATATAGTCAGGTGCAGCATTGGCAGTACCCACAATATCAACAATACTTTCCACAAAATATTCATTTAGTTTGTTTGCAATCACCAAAGAATTTGTTTCGGTACCGTTTTCGAATTGAACTTGATTTACACAATCATGCGGCTTCGAATTGATCAGTCTTTTTAAAGTCTTCCACATCTTTACACTGTCGCACTTGTTATTATCGATTTGTTTATCGTAGAATTTCCTTTTTTCTTCTCTAATTACATATACACATTTATTCCTAAGAGTTTTATATACCTCAAAATCATCATTTGATTTTGTGAATATACATTTATTGTATTGTTGTAGCTGCCTTAATATTCTTGTTATACCAGGGTGTATTTTTTGTCGAGCAAATCACTTTTTTATCAGTTGCAAGATCTAAATAAGTTTTTATATTTCCTATTATGTTGTCATATATTTTTTCCATATTCTCATCAAAATTCCAATAGCAGCCAGCAAGTTCTCGTTCAAGTTTTTCGTACTTAATAGTATTACGATTTTCTTAATTTTTTATCAGAAATATGCCCTACCAAGGGCAGCATTGTCCAACTGTGATCGCTAACTTTAGGTGTATGTACAGCTTTAATCCCTGCACATTCGAAATTTACAATAACAAGATCTAACAAAGTCTCTGATAATGATGTTATTCTGGTACTCTCTTCAATTTTTTGCTTGAACCCATAGTTGTTTATGGTTTCTTTCAATTTTCTTGTTTTCATGCTTTTACCATAATAATTTCAATTAAAATCACCTAAAAGTATTATATTGCTTCTAAAATTCCACATTTCTTCAAAAAAACGTTAAAAATGTATCCGCATCACTGTTTGGTGAACGGTAAAAAGTACAAAGATCATAACGTTCCCCAAATATAATTTGAACTGTATATGTGCATACCAGTATGCATAGTCTAAAGTGGTACAATCGAATAATGTGATCTGTATTTTGTGGTAAACATAAATCACTACACCTCCAGTATGTTTGGAGTTGGAGTTGCATCTGTAGGTTTTATAATTAGAAATTTGTAATTCACCATCAGTGATGTCTTCTGTAGCATGTGTTTCGGTAAGACTTAATACAAGTGGTTTTCTCCATCTTAAACACTGTTGAACTTCATCTATATTATTCAGGACTCCTTGTATGTTTAACTGGTATATTGAGTTACATTCATCACTTACAGATTTAGCCACGTCTTGCAAATCTGAGCTTAGTAGTTGCTATTCATTTGCATAACTAATTTTTTCCCTCTCACGTTCAATTTTCCTTTTATATACTTCACAATTTTTGTCGAATGGTCCATGATTAATAGGTAATCCTAGATTAAAATCCTGGTTTGCACTTTTACAAGTTGGACAGCATTTGCACATTTCACTGGTACTACAGTTTTCTGTTGAATGTGCTTCTAATCCACAAGTAATACATCTTCCTGATTTTGTGCAGTATTTAGCTGTGTGGTTAAATCCGGTACATTTATAGCATCGCAAAACATTGATGTACTCGAAAACAGAGCAAACAGACATGACGATAAAAATAACACCCTGATTCATAACACACTTAAAAGTCACAGCATCCACTTCTAAAATTGCTTGATATTTAGTTTTCATTTTCTTGACTGTAATTACTCTTATATGCGAATTTTCTTGAAAAGATTCATTTTTTGAATTTATAGTATTTATTAGCTCGTCTTCTGCATATTCTTGACAAAATCCAATAACTTTGATTTGTGGTTTTTTACTTATCTGTGAAGTTTTCACTGTATATGTTTCTGGCATTTTTGATTTTATTTCTTTATGTAACTTCGCGTTATCATCTTTTGTTTTACATTGGATTTTCACCCCACCATCCTTCAATTCATAAACTTTTTCAATAGCAATTTTCAAACTGGTAGGATTCACAAATTTTGCGATGTCTTTCTTTGTGTTATTACACTCTTGTTGGTTATTAGGCTTAACAATGACTGCATTTGTGGGTTTTAATATTGGTGATTGTTTTTTTGCTGTACGTGTTTGCAATGGTAAGCATTGCTGCTTATATTCTACCATTGTTGTACGCGAATTAACGGTTGAAGGCCCTGAAGCTTTAACCATATTAGCGTAAGTTGTAATTGCTTCTTCTGACGGCTGTTGCATCTTCCCAATTTTTTTGTTTAATTGGTCTATCTTTTCGTACAATTCTTCTATTAATTTCTCTTGAATCGAAATGGTATAATCTTTTAGTTTCAAAACTTCCTCTGTACAAAATCCCTTTTCACTCAGTGAGACCACACTATCCACTCCTTCACTAGCTCCATCCTTTTTATAGTTTTCCTCCATGTTCAGGAATCTCCTAAAAACCTTTTTTTAGCTTGACCTAATTTTTGACATTAGGAGTGTGGTCCATTAACGCTCCACGAACCCCCCTACAGCAGTCTTACCGAAATCGGATTTTCCACCCCTCAACTTTCGATGTTGCACTTTTCCGATAGTCCGATAGTCTGGCGATATGGGAAGGGGCAACGTTGCCAGGTGGAAGTTAACTACCGTCAGGGCAGGGAAAGAATGTCTATGGACTAACTGTCTTGTCCTGTTTCACTGACTTGATCTATTTTTCAGGCTCCTTTCACGCCCCATAAAGGTGACGATGGAAACGGCATCAAGTTTGCACCAGTTTTCTCCAAAGATTTTTACCCAACGGCACCAATGACCGACGCTGTAGATGAGGGCAATTTCCACAAAGTTCCACTTCTGTTTGGTATTAATTCAGAGGAATGTCTTACTCCTCAATATCTGGGATTTTTGACACAAATTCAACGAAAAGCCATAGTGTGGGATAACGATATTTCGAAAATGATAGATTTGAATGTCAACATACCTGACAGGCTTGAGGCTGCTGCAGATATGAAGGCAATTTATACTAATAGGAAGTTTTTCTCGGATGTGGCAGCAATTGTGAAGGTAAGTAAAGTACTATTAGGACAATTATAATTTATACCGTCAGTATAGCGGCTGACTCACCGGAAGAACTTCAGTTGAAGGCCAACTCAGTATCGGATCAGTTTCAAACTTACAGTATATTCAGATAAGAGATAGACCGGATGTAAACAAAAGGTTCGGGTGATTATCACGCTAACGCCGCCGTCTGGACGTAAAACAGGAGCCCTCATTGGTCACTTCGCAATTAAATGCCTATGCCGAGCGGCAGAGCAGTCGTATCAAGGCAGAGTCACATTCAGGTTCAGACGTGTCGTGTGCATCATTGCAATTTGATATTTCTTTGGACGTTTTCGTTTGTTATCTTATTAAGTTGTTGAGTTTGTCGTTGTTATTGTTATACCTTGTTATTGATTGTTATTGTTATCAACTGCTTGCGCAAAATGCCCAGTAGTACAGATACTGCCGATGAACTTGTAAACTCCTGTAGTCCACCTAGGAAACGCTCTAAAAAAAGACACCTGAGTGCAGAAATGAAAGAGGTCATTTTGAATATACATATATATAAGATCGAGCGCGAGGAGAACGAGGCATCAACCATCAAAGAAATTGTTGTGAAGGTTTCTCACAAAGTTGGGGTGTGTCGCGCATCAGTGTTTAATGTGTGACAATACAAAAAAATCACACCTTTTCTGAGCCAATGACCAGTAAACATCGCAAAAGTATTGTTAAATCATTGGATGAAGCTGATAAGCATGCGATTAGGAGGAAAGTACATGAATTCTTCTTTAGGAATGAAATACCTACTATAGATAAAGTACTGCAGGAGGTAAATGGAGATACAACGTTGCCAAATTTCAAACGATCAACTTTCCATGCGTTACTGAAGCATTTAAATTTCAAATAGAAAGAACGGGGTCGTAATAGTTTACTACTGGATAGAGAAGAAATTGTGCTAAGGAGGAGGGATTATTTAACAAAAATTGGGAAATATAGAAATCAAAACAGGAAGATTTATTACCTTGATGAAACGTGGGTAAACGCAGGACACACTACAAGTAAAGTATGGGTTGATGATTCTGTAACTTCATCCAGGAGGGCCTTTCTAGATGGACTGTCCACCGGATTTAAAAATTCAGCAGGTAAAAGGAGTAATAGACAACAATCGGATGTTTTTCAAACCTTGGGAACAAGGTTCTAAACATTAATTCCAGGGGCCAGATAAAACATATTACAAGTAATAAAACTTTTATAACTTTCGATAAAATGCGTGGATGTTTTATTGTCATTTTCATTTGTTAGAACTTTTTTAAGCCATGTTTTTATGTGTTTTCGATATTTCAATAATTTTTTAATATAATCTTAAAATATGTCGAATATTATAAACTTAAAAAAAGTTAATAAGTTTTATATTGTGTACCGTTCCTAATATTTCTAATCATTTTAATTCATACTTTAAGATTTATAAAGTTATAATTTGTTAATATTAATATTTGCGCGTATTTCAGGTTCCTGATCATTCATTTTTTAAAGGTTTATAACTTTAAATTAAATTGTGAAGCGCTGAGTAATCATACGACGTTCAATATTCTTTCTTTCAATATGACTAAATAATCCCAATTATAGCAATCTGATACTCATGTCTCAATGTTTTTTCGCTGAATGTGATGAAAACATTTGAAAAAGGTTCGCTAATTGAAATAAATCTACACCAGTTAGTACTTCGATTTCCAGGTAAAGGGAAAAGGCTCATTATCTGCCATATTGGCAGTGAGGATGGATTTGTTGTTGACGGTCTATGGTGCTTTGAGTCTAAGAAAACTGGAGATTACTACGAGGAAATGAATGGCGAATCGTTTGAACAGTGGTTTTCAAAAATTTTACCGAACTTAGAGGAAAACGCAGTAATTGTGTTGGATAATGCGCCTTATCATTCTCGAAGAATGGAGAAGGTCCCAACAACGGCTTCAAGGAAAGTTGATGTTCAAAATTGGCTCCGCTCGAAAAATATCAACTTTGAAGAAGCAATGCTGAAAGTACAATTATTAAGAATTGTCAAGGATCACAAGGCGGAATATCAAAAATACGCCATTGTCGAAATGGCAGCAAGTCAAAATAAAACTGTGCTCCGTTTACCTCCATACCATTGCGAGCTGAATCCCATTGAGCTCATATGGGCAGAGGTTAAAAATTATATAGCTAAGCACAATACAACTTTTAAATTTTGTGACCTCAAAGGACTTTTCAAAGAAGCACTAGAATTAATATCAGCGCAAAAATGGGAATATTGTATTAAGCACGTGATAGACAAAGTTGAAAAGAGAATGTGGGAACTGGACAATATTTTAGAGGAACAAGTCGAGCCATTCATTATTGACGTTGGTGCTTCAGGCAGTAGCGATGATGAAAGCTCATCAAGCTCATCTTTCCAATAAAAGATGTCGTTCATCAAATTCGGTAAGTTATAAGTAATTATAAAGCTACTGTATTTTTTAATTAATTATTGACATTTTGGCAAAACCTATTCAAGAATCTACTTTCTGACAATGTTCAACCATGCACATTTTTTTACGTTCTGAACGTTTTAATTTGGTTACATCTTTACCTAGAAATCAAAAAATATACTAATCAATATTCTAAAAGCAATTTTAAGAGATATACGATTATTTTTAATTTAGGCTAATTTAAACGCCATTTTGAGATTATATTCGACTGTATTTCACCAAACATCAGGCGGCATCCGAAGCTGGAAATCGAAGCGAAAATTTTGAAACCCTTATGTATATTTACATCATTATATATTTCTTACCCCACCCCCACATGGTCCTATATCCATCACCAATCGTATACACATCGAATTGTGCTAATTTACTACAAAGTTACGCAAAGCAGCATCTACTATCTAAAATATGTACTGCGTGACTCTTAATACGTCCCTGCCGAATGTTACAGCGTTCGATGATCACGTGGTCTTGTTTATGTCCGGTCTATCTCTTATCTGAATATACTGTAGATAACTAGCAATAACCTATACATAGATAGTTAATGAAAGTAAAACCAAATTCAATGAGAATGTTCACTTTTTGATTTAAGATAAAAAATACAAACTTAATGAAAAGAAAATATTTATTACTATCAACATATGCATACATTCGGCGAGTTGTATTTCTTAAATATCATTCCGTCCAAATGTTTCTCATCCCTTCGAATACACTCTTCTAATCGCGCGCGCAAATTCTGAAACACTCTCTTGCAGAGTTCCGGAGTGATGTTGTCTATTTCCCGTCGAATGTTGTCTTTGAGCTCCTTCAGTGTTCGTGGATTATTGGAATACACTTTTGAATTTAGATAACCCGACAAAAAATAATCGCATGGCGTAAGGTCGGGTGACTTAGGAGGCCAGTGAATGTCTCCAAACTTCGATAAAACTTTTTGAGAAAAAAGTGCTTTCCCCGTGTCCATAGATTCTCTGAAAGTGTGGGCAGTGGCCCCATCCTGTTGAAACCATATGTTTCTGTTAAATCGAAGTACCTACTGTTCTTACAGTATCAGCAAAAAGAGTGTCAGTCATGCCCTTGTGCCGGAATTGACTGTCAATGCATGACCGTTTTCATCTTCAAAGAGATACGGCCCAATAATAATATTGCTTGTTCACATAACCGTCTAAGTGAACATCAGTCACTGAAAACAACTTTCTCGAGTCTGCGTTGCGTAGAAAAAAGATTCAACATCCATTAAGCACAAACTCATTTTTTATTCTTATGCCATGCAGCGTTGACCTGTTGACCTTCGATTGATACAGTAGGTGTGGAGCCAGAAATAGTAGAGCCTGTTTAAAGGAATATATTGTTCAGAGAAATCATCTGATGACATTTCCCAGTGCTTATTGGCTATGGGCTACCATCAATAGTTGGTTGAGACAACCGAGTATTTATTTCATTGAAAACTATCACGGTATGCTGAAACAAAAAACAAATTATTACATTTGGTTTCAATACGAAAACTAAAGTTTTACTAATTACTGTGAGAAAATGTATCAGCAAATGACCTCAAAAATTTGCTATGATATGCGCTTTGAAAAATATTTGTAGATTCCTTTTACTAAAATCTGAATAATTCCAAGTTTTGTCATTGAAGTCAGTCGTAATACTTGCGGAATACTACAAATAAAAAACTATGTCCAATTTGTAGTTACTGTAATCGCGGTGCACAGGTACCACCTGAATGTTGCGAGAATCAATGGAAATAAAAAAAATACAACCTAATGTTCTGTTCATTATTTTGATGCGTGCATACAACAATGATTAAAAAAGTATAATGGATAGCTGTTTTAGACATTTGCTAAAATAAAAAGCGATCACAGCAACTACAAAGTTGTAATTTGGACACAAAAGACATCTGCATTTATTTTTTTTTATTTGTAGTATTTCGACTTGAATGACAAAACTTATTATTATTCAGTTTTTAGTAAAAATAACATAAGAATACTTTTTTGAAAGAGAATTGAATAGCTAATTTTTAAGGTCATTTGACGATTCAGTCTGATATATTTTTTCACGGTAATTAGTAAAGATTTAGTAAGGGTTTTCGAATTGAAACCAAATGTAATGATTTAGACTTTTTAGTATACCGTGCTAGTTTTCAATGAAATTAATACTCGGTTGTCGCAACTAACTATCAATGATAGTCCAGGAAATAAAAGCATAAGTTAGAAGTTCTTTACAGCCATAACAGGCAAAAAAAGAACCAAAAAGTAGTGTTTTTTTGAAAAAACTTCAAAGTGGCAATATCTCGAAAGCTAGAAAACTTTTACTAATGTCATGTTGATTTTATCTGATTAATCTGAAGCTGACCTACCTCCCGTGTCCGTTTGGCGTGTTATTTCTGGGACACCCTGTATGAGTGCCACCATATACAACCAACTACCTAATGATATCAAATCCTTGGGTATTTCAAAAAACCGATTGTCAAGCATTTTTGTTAGAAAAATGTAATTATTCTATTAATGACTTTGTGTCGATTTTACCGTAATTTTGAGTTTAATTGTGCATAATTTTATCTTGTATCGTAATCATTCCTTTAACCTTTATTTTGACGTTTTACATCGGCGAGACTGACGTGAACAAAATTTATTATCATCATTATTATAGAATTTCTATCACAGTACTCGAACATATATCGTTTGATCTTTTTGAAGGTTGAAGATTAGATGTTGTTTAACGTGAAGGTCAGATGGAAAACAAGCCTCGGTTATATACTGACTTAGAGATACCTGCACTCAAAATATGTCTGCAAACGTGACATATGGAACATTTTTATCAGATATTTCCACAATAATTTTTAGAGTTCTTCAGAAGTCCGTACGATTATTCACATACCCAGTAAAGTTCTGACCTTCTGCAATCGCACTTTCAGTGCAAATTAGTGTAGAAATAACAAAAAACGCTTGCTTTGAAAATACGCAGAATCAATAGGTACTATACTTGTAGTCGCCGTTCTTGGAGGTTACGTCATCAACGCCATATGAAATAAGTAAACAGATCGAGTCTTCGTACCATGGGCGGAACACTGCGCAGACTAATCTTCGCTAGTCTCTCCAGTACGCATGAAGTGGGAAACAGGGGACCGCCGTTTCCATTCTCTTCCTGGAAATAGTCTAATAAATTTAGCACAAGCTTTTGGCCTTTAGGACAACTCGGACAAATATGATTAAAGGGCACTCATACATAACGACAAAGTATTTGAGACGGAGACACACAACTAACAAACGTTCACACACAGGGGTAGGTTGCATGTGTATGTATGAGGGAGATGGAGCTATATAAAGGGATACTGGAAGTCTTACTTTGACCCGCCAGGAACGGTGACGACAAGTATAGCTCTTCACATGGAAGCGCGCGTCAGAGAATGTACGCGCGTACAATGCCACTAGGCACTGACCGACGTGCGTATTGAAACACTGACTGTTTCTATTCCCTGTTCAGCTGGCGCTCGTGTTTAGTCGACATACCTGGCGCGTTTCTGATTGCTACCAAATGGTTTTGATTTGGGCGCCGACAAATTTAACATAGATATTTATCTTCAAGAAATTGAAAGGATGCCTGCGATATTGAACATGCATTGCTAGATAGAATATTCAAAAAAGCACCAGGGAGGAGATTGTCCTATTTTTTTGTACATCTGATGGTAGCGAAGAAGAAATGAAATGACTAACATGAAAAAAGGTGCTAAGTTATTAAATGTTAAGCATATTGACTGTGCTTCACATAAGATTCAAAATGTGTTAAAAGAAGTGTCTACTTATGATTCTTATGAACAATTATTATATTTACAGTTTATTGTAGAAGAATACTGTATTTCTTTGATTATTATTTTTAATTTTGTTCAAGAAGTTGATTATATAATATTAAAAACTTAAGTAAAAACTGATAAAAATTTAATAGTAGAATTTGTTTTTCTTTGCTTAGTAAAGTAAATAAATAAATAATACCAAATGATAAAGTGAAGACTGATAATGTGATTACGAGGTTAAGTTAATTTTTCTTGTATTAAAAAAAACATAAAAAATGAATGGATTTTGTTTTTATTAACCTACTATTATCAAGTTTTTTTTTCTGATATCCATATTCGCAAAACATTCGCAGAAATTTTGCGAATGCGAATGCGAATATGCAAAAGTATGCGAATATCCGAGGAATGCGAATGCGAATATTTCTTACATCTCTAGAGTGCTGCCATCAGCAGAGCTGTGTATTGTGGAAAAACCCATGTTGACGTTGTTTGGTCAGAGAGAAAGTCAGCCACCCATCTGCAAAGCTTCTCTGGGGGGGGCATAGAATAGAAGTTTGCATAGCAGGGCAGCCTGCCACAGCTGATCGAACGCTTTCGTGATATCAAGAGCAGCGACATAAGCCTCACCATAAGACTAGAAGAGTTTACTCCACAATTGCGTGACTTAAGCTAGGAGGCCCCTGTGGATCGCTGGTGCCAGAAACCATACTGCCTGTCGCTAATCAAGACGTGACGTTCGAGGTAGTCCAGAAGCTCGCGATTTATGCACGTCTCCATCACCTTGCTTAGCAGAGCTGCAGGCCTGTAGTGTTAAGGGTTGGTCGTAAATCCTTTTCTTGGGATGGGTTGAACATGAGCCATTTTGCAGCTCTCTACGAAGGTGCCGGATTCATAAGATATCTGGAAGAGACGCAAAAAAACTGGAGCACGCTCTGTTGTACACCACTTCAGTACAATGGCAGGAATCAAGTCCGGACCAGAAGCTTTGTTGATGTCGAGTGACAAGAGAATCCGTCTCACGGTCTTATGCCTGAGTGTTACTTCCCGTATAGTGTAGGGAACCCTTTGAATCGACGGCACTTAGGCGTTTTGGGGGGGGGGGACGTCCATGGTGGAGTTGGTAGCGAAGATCTATATGTTAACTAAATGCAAATATCTTGTTCCACATCCATTTCCATTGACTAAACACAATAAACTGGCCCCCGACTATCTAGTCCCACTCTGTATAAAATTTCTACGCGTGCCATCTGAAGATCGACCCAACAAACCTACGCCGCGTCGACGTGCGTCATCCGATCTAAGCTGAGTCCATGGGTTCCTTCGATCTGAGTGAAAGGCCCTACTCAATTCGTCTCCACGATCCTTTAACGATATATTTTTTGCAGTTCTGCACTGATGATGAATTCACGTTGCCTGTAGGAAGACATGCAGAAAGTGCATCGAAATATGGCATCCCAGTATACATGTATCAGTTTGCTTATCAATTTCTCCCATCACACTTAATACCAGGTGAGTTACCGTCTGTTATAATCGATCTACTCGTATTACTATTGGATCAGATCTATTACCTACTACAATGTGCATGATTTCTATTGCTTTTCCTATTTTTTTCTAATAGCGGCTGGCACAATCTGTACAGCAATAGTAAAATCAGTTTTGCTACGCCACCGCTGGTCCCATCTGTGTAATAAGTGCTGTGCTGTACACCACACATGGTTAGGTTCCTTTTTGAATGATCCTGACGAGACCTGACATCTGTGCAGACCGTGGACCTTTAGCTCGTTTTTCCAAATGAAAGTGTAATCGGATTGATACAAATAGAAATTCTGAATAGAAACACATAGGTACTACTACTAATGATAATAATAATAATAAGCATGACAGCGATACACAGTTCTCACACCTGTGGTACATGGATGATCTAGAGCTGTTTTCTGCCAAAAAAGATTACCTATACAATCTCTTAGAATGCGTCGGCAGATTCAGCATGGATATCGGTATGTAGACAAATCTCGAATAAGCAGTATGATCAGAGGCAAATGGAAGGAGCTTGAAGACCATAACGTTAGCAATGAACATGGTACAATAGCGGTAGTGAGGGAAACGAGACCTACAAGAGGTTGGCATATCTGCAAAACCAAGAACTGACCACAAAGTTGCGAAACAAAAAGCAATCGATGTCTATGTCATCAGACTGAAAGCTATTATGAAATCCGAGCTAGCAGCCCGTAACACAATTACAGCAATCAACGCACACGCCACCTCAATCTTGATGTAAGTATACCTTTGGCATTCTTCAGTGGACAGACACGGAGCTCAATTCACTGGATATCACCACAAGGAGAGAATTTCGCAAATACCGAGCGCAGTGCAATTGAAAGATTCCATCTCCCCAAAGGTGAAAGAGGAAGAGAGATCTCCAGTGCATCCAGACATCATCAGCAGGTAGATGATCTACGGATGTATCTCTTGAATAAGGCAGAAACCTCAAACCTGCATAAGGCAAATAACAGGCATCGATCGAAAGCTGAAACCACTAAGACTTTCCAAGACAACCCAATGACAAATGTACCCTCTTACGCCAGCATGCTGCAACAGTAGAAACCAAAGCGCTTGCACGCATGCTATAAAAAGCTAAACAGAGAGTTTTATATTAGCAATTCAAACCAAGTAATACCAACAAAGGTTTACCGAAAAAATATCCTAAAGGAACACTTACCATTTACCAAATGCCGAGTATGCGCAAATAAAGATGAGATGCTTGATCACATCGTCGAAGGTTGCTCCACACTTGCCCCTAAACAATATTTGGAAGGTCACAATGATGTTGCCAAAATAATATACAAAGCACTTGTAAAGCTGCATATGAACGATGAAATCTTAGAACCTTTCTGCATCTACAGCCCGTCCCCCAGTGAAAGAGTGTAATAGTTGCAGACTATATTGGAACAGAAAGATTATTACCGACAAGCCAATTCCAAACAACATACCAGATATAGTACTGACCTTGAGAAATAAATGGGTGACGTACATCATAGACATTGCAGTTCCCCTCCCTTTTAATATGGATGGAAATGGATAAAGTGCTAGTAGTACCTACAAGCTCAAAAGACTGCCCTACTAGGAACCTGCAGAATGGTACGGTTCTCGATGAGTAAACATACTAACGCAGATATAACAGGCCTGCTCTTCACCTGGCGAACAGCCCTAACAAGAGAGAAATAATAATAATAATAATAGCACTGGACATCACCCGAATAGTGCGACGATTTTTGAGCCAAGAATAGAACCACCCGCACTTCACTTTAACCAGGAAGAAAACCTAAAAAATGAGAGAAATAATAATAATAATAAAGGTGGTGGATGGTATACCTGAATTATTATTGTAGAACTAGCCTTGGACGTTTGTGTTTTTGAACATCAGCTACACAGTAATTCACAACCTCCCTTACCAGAAGATTAGAATCGCTGTCTGCTCTTGTATATGCCTTAGGTGCAAGTTCTTTGTTAAGCTCACTGTGAGGAAGTATATTTAGATCTGTAGCGTGTGATTCGAAACATACCATGGAGCCTCCGTGATAGAGCGAAGAGCTCTATGTTGAATTACCTCTAGCAAATGCATGTGCATCTTAGCAGCAAAGCACCAAGCGCACATCCATACGACATGATAGGCCTAATAACAGTGATAAACACAGCATTTGTGACACGACAATCTTTGGGTGTATCTTATGTATTTTGAGACCCTTAAATAAAATCTAAAAATAGAATTTTTCTATCCCCCACAGATATTCGGTAACATCTACTTTTATGAATTACAATACGTAACATCTCATATTGCTGCATTTCTCGGCGTTTATGCGATGACGCACATATATAATGTTAAGACCTGTCTATTCCTGTTCATTATATGCGAGCGCTGTGTTTAGAGAGCATATTGCGTTTATTAGTAGACTAATAGCAGCCGAGTCAGTTACGTTTTCTGTGTTGAAGAGTACTGAGATGTTCTGAGTACTGTTAATTTTTGTTAAAATGGTGTGTTGCTTTTAGTTTATTGTGATCGAGACTAGCTTTATGGACAATGCCTAGATATTGTGAAAATAGTGCGAACAGTTTTTGTTATGTGTGCGGAGAGCTAACTTTTAAATCCCAAAAACGTACTTTTACTCCCCTTGTGTTCACAGCATACGAACTTTATTCTGGAATTAAAGTTGGCGACCAAGATAAACTATGGGCCTCTCATATACGAGTATGTTGTAAGATGTGTGTAACGTTGTTAACAGGTTGGTTAAGAGGCGACAAGAGAACCGAGAGTCCATACTACTGATTGCTATTTTTGCTTCACAAATGTTAAAGGTATTGGACCAAAATCGAAACATACTGTTAAGTATTTTAGTTTACGATCAGCTTTGCAGCCCGTTAAGCATAGTGGTGAACTTTCTGTCCCAGTTCCACCAAAATCTTGGTCTTTGGATGAAAAAGTCGAATCCACGGATTCTGAAAGATACAGAAAGCGTAAAAATTTCCGATCCTTCGTTTGACCTGCCAGGATATTCAACAGCGCCACATTTGATCACACAGGGCGAACTTAATGACGTAGTTCGAGAATTGAATCTGCCAAATCCTAGTCAGAACTTTTAGCGTCAAGACTAAAAGGATGGAATCTTCTCCACGGTGATGTTAACATTATTTTTTACCGAAAACGGCAGCAAGACCTCACACCCTGTTTCCGTCAAGAGAGGGAGTTGATATATTGCTCCGATGTCAACAATTTGTTTGACGCGTTAGGACAGAAACATGATTCAAACGATTGGCGCCTATTCATTGATTCCTCTAAGCTTAGTTTGAAAGCGGTATTGGTACACAACGGTAATAAATATCCATCTGTACCTATAAAACACGCTGTTCATTTGAAAGAATCATATGAAAATATGCGAGTTCTGTTAGAGCATATCCGTTATAATGAATATGGATGGGCCATATGTGCAGATTTAAAGGTAGTAGCCCTTCTTCTTGGAATTCAACTGGGATATACCAAATATTGTTGTTTTCTTTGTTAATGGGACAGTCACGCGCGAGATCGTCATTATGAACAGAAGGAGTGGCCACTCAGTCAGGTATTCACTCCGGTCCTCAAAAACATTGCTCATGAACCACTAGTTGATCCTAAAAACGTGTTGCTTCCACCTTCGCATATTCAGTTGGGACTGATGACAAATTTTGTGAAAGCTATGGTTCGAAATGGAAGAGGGTTTCTGCATTTAAAACAAACATTTCAGAGACTTAGTGAGGCAAAAATTAAAGAGGGCATATTTGTGGGTCCACAAATACGGAAAATCATGAAGGATGATGTATTTGACAGTGCTCTAAATGAAACTGAATTACGAGCTGGAATGCTTTTAAATCAGTTACTGCAAATTTTTTAGGCAATGTGAAGGCGAACAATTACAAAGATATTGTGAGTGAACTAATTAATGCTTATAAAGGAATGGGATGTAACATGTAAAAATTCACTTTTTGGATTCTCATCTCGATTTTTTCCGGGAAATTTAGATGCGGTAAGTGATGAACATGGTGCACGGTTCCACTAAGACATTTCTACTATGAAAACAGGGTGTCATGGCAAATGGAGTGTCAATTTGCTTGCTGATTATTGCCGGACATTGTTAAGAGATACTTTAGGAGCAACATATCGCCGTAAAACATCGACAACAACATTCTGAGATTAATGTTTATTCGAGTGTTAATTAGTATGCCTTATTGCAAAAAAATCGAATGCTATTTCCGGCTTTTAGGGTACGTTTGACAAAATAACCACCTTGTTTCGTCCATGTCACAAAAAATTATTTTAATTTTGTTCACCAGTGTAATGGATTTGTATAATTTATTTGAGGTTGATAATCGACTATTTCCTCTAAGAAGGAGATAAAGTGGTTTAAAAATCCCGACAGCCTGTTTCGGGAAGACATAACATGGAGCTTCCAGGTTAATTTTCTGTCAATTATCAACCTCCAATTGCCATGGCATGTTTCGATCAAATACTCCTGACCACCTAGGTCCAGGATGCTTTCGTTTCGCTAGGAAAACAGCTTGTTATTTTCATGGATATCAACATTTATTTTCTAATAATTTTTGTGTAAAAATCAACGTTTATTAAACATTTCTTACATTAAGCAACAGAAATTATTTCTTTTCTATTAATTAAGAACAAGTAATTAGTAATCTGTTTTCTTAGATTCATCTTTAACTGTTTGGCATAGTTTAAACATTTTTTATAATCTTACCCTTACTCCTAACAACAGCTGTATATTTTTAATTCAGTCTTATTCATATAATGACTAATAATCAAATCACAACTTTCTCCTAGATGCTATTACTATGATATCAACCTATGGTGATAACTTTTGAAAATACGCTCTTAAGAAGCAAATGGCATTCATTGTATCATCTCCGAGTTTGCTTCTGAGTGAACTGCAAATATATCCTGATGCTGAAAACGCTCTCTGGCTTCT